CATGGGTTGGTAAGCTGCTACAGATGTTCTTAAGCACTTCCTTATTTGGCACTCTTGCACTTATGTATCTAATTTACCTTGCCTTTTTTTCTCATTACAGTCATCTAGAAAAAGAAAGGAGTCGGCTAAAGATGGTTCCATCAGTGCTCAGGAGGGGGCTGCTGAATCTTATAAGAAACGAAATGGATTAACTTCTACTGATTATAAAAGAGACGATACTCATGTCAAGCGAGAAGCAGACAATTCTTCTATAAAAAGTGTAATCTCTTTGAAGACTAGCCCTTCTTCATCTACTGCAGGTGGTAGTAATTGTGTTCCTTCTTCCCATGAAGTTAAAGAACCAAAATTGTCTTCCTCACAGAACTCGCAGAGAAATACTGTTGGTAATGATGCTAGAGTGTCTGAGCACCCAGCTCGTACTTTACCAGGTTTCTTCATTTAGGAAACTCAAATCTCTGCAAATTTTTTAACCAAGGGTTCCCGATCAATCATAATTTTTTTGTATTAATTTTTTTTGGGAACATCATAGGCTTGATAGCTGAGATTATGAGCAAAGGTGAACGCATGACATATGAAGAACTTTGCAATGCTGTTCTGCCGGTATGGTTTCTTTAGGAATATACTCCCTCCATCTTAAAGTAAACATTAAACATTCCTTGTTTGTCCGTCTCAAAATAAATGTTATACTTCACCAATTTCATTTTTAGGAAATGAATATGTGCCTTAAATAATTTCTCTTCCAAACAAATTTCAACCATCTACTTTTTACTTTTCAACATTTTTCTTATACATTGTGAAATCAATGTGCCATGTTCATTTTGAGACCATAGGGAGTAATATTTGTTCCTCATTCAATTTTGTATTTGTTAATATTGTATTCATGACACATAATGGTGCTCGTTAACATCTCCTTCATCTTTTCTTTTATGCAGCACTGGCCTCACTTGAGGAAACACAACGGAGAGCGTTATGCCTACTCAAGTCATTCTCAAGCTGTCCTTGATTGTCTTCGAAATCGAAGCGAATGGGCACGCCTTGTTGATCGTGGTCCTAAGGGTGGTCCCAGGGTTTGTTTTTCGAAATTTCAGCCAATTTATAACAGAAAATAGGAAAGATAGAAATAAAAACTGATGGGTAAATAATTAATTCTGTTTTTTTTACAGTTGACGGCAGGCCGAAAGAGGCGCAGAATTGATGATTCTCAGAGTAATGAGTTGGGCGACGAGAACGGAGGCGGAAGTGGCGGGGGCAGGGACAAAGATGAGGGAAACAGCAAGTCATTGGATCAAGAAGAGTTACCCAAGGGTAGGCGGAAAACTAGGAAGCGACGGCATCTTACCCAAGGGGGAAGAGGGAAGAAGAAGGATGGTGTTAGGAGAAGACACCATCGCACGGGGGTGATCAGTGACGATGACGATGAACCTGCCTCATTTTCTAGCTGTAGTGACGATGACACCGTGTTTTGCGAAGAAGACGATGATGACTATGATGATGATGATGATGATGATGCTGATTATGGTATGGAAGGCGCTGCGGCCTCTCCTAAAACAAAAGTAACGCCTCCTAGTTCAGCTCACTGAACTCACGCCATGATCTACTCTCTATTTCTTGGCTGTTTTTTTAGGGTTTAGGTCCGCTGGGCGGTGTAAACATATTCCGGTGCTTGTATATCATTGTAGCAATATCATTTTTATTTTCTGTTACTCTGTTAGAAAAAATTGTATAACGCATCATTTTATATAACGAAAATGTAACGCATCATGGACTTCTACTCTTCTACGGAGTATCATATATATAAAATGCACAATGCAAAATTGGATCCCGATTCGAGCAAGGTTAATTTGAAACCAATTTCACCTTTTAGAAAGTTAGACTGCTGTTAAAAAAAAGGTACACAGTATAAAAGGTGTTTGATTGCATTAAAGTATTCTGCGTATTCAGATGGTTCGTACTTCGTACAACATTTTTTTATTTACGATGTTTCAATTAAATTATTTTCAAATCATTTTATATGAAAAACTGTATAAAATTAAAAAATAAAAATTACATATTTGAAAATTACATCAAAAGATTTGTAAAACTACTAGTGACATGATCATATTATTTAATCAAATAATTTACGAAAATAGGAAAACAAAGTGAATGAATTTTGATCATGTGAATAGTAAATACACAATTTAATTTAGGACGAAGGGAGTATAAGAGATTCTATTCACGTTAAAATTTACTCTATCAAGTATCAACAACAATGTAAATAACATGGGCCAAATTTCACAAGAGTTATGGCTAGGGATGAACAAGAATCTTGATCCCGTTGTCACGACCTGAAATATCTCGATTGTATTATTATAATATTTCATTTTTTATGGAATAAAAAAATTATCTCAAACCCGTTCCAAACTAATTTAAAATGGGACGAGACTTGGACACATAAATATTTTACAGTCTCGTCTCGTTGTCCCGTATGTGCGTATATATAATATATATCTATTTACTACGTATTTATTTACATAATATTATAACACAAAAAAAATATCACAAGTTTTGTTTTTCCAATGATAGATAAAAATAAATATCCAGATTCAAATATTTTAGAAAAAATTTACTAGGACCGCAATGCCTAAAAACCCAGACCATTCTTACCCTGCCCACCCCAATTTGTGATTCATAGTTTTTATAAAGCTTACAGTTTTAACTTTTAATGGATGTTGTAGCGTTTTTTAATGTTGCCTTATTGTTTTTGGCTTTTCCTAAGATATTCTAAATAAGTAATTCATTTTTTCTTTACTTTGCAAGTTTAAGTGGGTTGTCTCCCCTTATGTATTTTATATTTTTATATCTAACTTCAGAAAATGACAAAGCAAGAGAACTCGAACCTTTTCCCTTTTGTCTGGATCTCAAATATTAAGGGACAAAGAAAAATAAGCTTGTGGCCACTAACGGATCTATGCCTAGTATATCGGAGCACCCGCCCCAGTCAATTTTTTTAAGTGTTAAATACTCCGTATGTTTTTAATCCCTGTAAAATAAATGAATTTTGTTTTTTGTCTCTGTAAAAAATTATTTTGTTAAGTCATCCTTACAATTTTTTTCAAAATGTTCTCTAAACATAACATACACTTCTCTTTGTTGAGATAACCCATTTATTTCATACTCCTAGACTTGGCAAAAAAAAATTATCCGACCTGTTTTTGACTTGAGACCCGACCCAAAAATACTGGGTGTTGAACAAAGGTTTTGCTGACCAAACCCCGAAGTTGACCGAACCCAAAATGACCCGCTAAAAATGGGTCAAACCCTACTGAACCCGAACCCGACCTGACCTTCCCGCTAATCTAAGATTTTTTCAAAATCATACATTTTAATATGAAATATAATGTTATAAAAGAAGATTATAATTATATTTCTTTGCTTACTACTCATTTTTTGTGTATAGATTTATGCAAATTTTAATGATGTCGCATAATTATCTTACATTTTTCAAAATTTTTACATATTTAATTTTTTTATACGTAATATTGACACTAAGTCATAAAATTTACTTAAAATTTTTTTAAAAAATAAATGAAACTCATAATCCGTTAAGTCAACCCGAACCCGATGACACTGGGTCATGAACATGTAGTTATCAACCCGAACCCGACCGACCAATTTACCAGGTCTACATACTTCCTCTGTCCCAGTGTATTTATCGAGTTTGATTTTTTCGAGTCAAACAGGATAACTTTGAGCTTCAATTATTCTCAAACCCTAGTGTATTTTAGTATAAAAATAAATTAATTAGATTTATCATATTAAAAATTTTAAAGATTATATTTCATTATACTAATATGCAATACAAACTGAGAGTAATTCAAGCTTAAAATTTGTCTAGTTTGACTCGAAAAAGTCAAACTGAACAAATTTACTCGGACGGATTGGAGGGAGCACTCAACATCTTAATCTTACATTTCTAATTACCAAAGTGAAATATCTCATGCCATAGATACTCTTCTTCATCGAATTACCACCTCAATTTCTAGATTTTATTATACTATATTCCTAAAATATTTAGGAACTAGAGATGTAATCTTTATATATAAAATTTGAGTGTTAGGCTTCTAAAATTGTGACATGTGGCGCGCTTATTAGACAAGTTATATTTTAAGATTTAGTTAACAAAAAACGTATTCTATAGAAATTAAATTTCGTATTTGTTATGCAAAAGTTTCTCAGAATAATTGCGTTTAAAAACTTTTATATCTTAATTCATTATTGGAAAATATTTAAATTAAATAATATATTTTGAAATTGAAAAAGAACTCATATTCAAAAACAATAATCAAAACAAATAAATTTATTCTAAGAACGGATAGATTGGTAGGACTAAAAGAAATTACGTGTGAATATTTATTTTTAGTTTGAATAAATACTAATTGGAGAAATTTTCCAACTTTGAAAAAAGAGAAATAAATATATAAAAGAAAAGGGATTTAATGAGAAATTATAGAGCAATAATTTTATTCCGTATATATGAAAAATAATCCTAATTCAAATAACAAATAAATATGATTCAATTTAAAATTAGTATTGATGGATACCCGGGAATGGGGGTATCCAGCCCAACAGGAAGACGACCCAGCCCAACTACGCCAAGGCCCACTTGGCGGGACCAAGGCAAAGGACCAGTGAAGACCACCTCGACAATATCATGCACTCGGCCTCGGCAGGGTCAATCATCCTCGGACCACCCCGGCCGGCCTTCCGTCCGGAGGCTTCCGAAGAAATGTTATGCGCTCCGCCTCGGCCTTGGGCAGCGACAGACCGGACCTAGACAAGGAAGCTGACTGAAGTCAAGATCAAGGGGCCCACGATTAGACACCTGCAATACCTCTGGCAGAGTTGCTATAGCCACCCTATCTGTAGCCTACTTTGTATAGCAGTCCTAGGGTTAATTATGTGGTTGGACGCCGCCGGTGAACAACCCAATCTTAGTGGGCCCAGACCGTTGGATTACGGACCAACGGTCGGAACCCTAGCTGCAACTTGTATATAAACCTCATCCCTTCTAAGTCGGCATTAAACAAAAAAAAGGAGTGAACCCTAAGTGGAGGACATCCCTCCGGAAGGACCCACGTCAGCAATCCCCTCGGAGTAGGATGGCTGTTCTGACTCTTCGTCGGTTTCCACCTCCTCGTCATTCTCCTCTTCTTCGTTCCCCGATTCCAGATCTTCCGACCTCGGAGCGCTCTCCTCAAGCCCATGCTTCGGGCGACTCCCAAGTACGGCTTCAGATTGCTCGAACTGACGCTCGAGGGAGATAAGGATCCCCACCTCCGCTAAGTTCTGCTCCGTACACACCGTGTACACGTGGGGTGGTTTAGGACGGCAGTCTTCCAACAGTTTTTGCGCATGTGCGAGAAGCTCGGGAGTGGCCTCGGGCCAAGGATGACGAATAAACGTGTGACCGTCGGGAAACCTGGCTTGGGGAGGGTGCCGGTTCCCGGGAAAGCCAGAAACGAAGACAAATTTGGCTTTCCAAAGTTTCAGGGATGTGGGGAAGACATCCATTCCACACTCGGACTGAGAAAAAACGACAGCGTACGAATTCCCTTCGCGGGCCCCGACTTTGGAAATCTTAAACATATAACGGAACAAATCCAGAGACCAGGGGACTCCCCTCTGGTGACACTTAATCAGGAAGATCGAGAAACAGTAGTAGGAATGGGGACTGAGCTGACCCGGCAGAAGACGGTAGAAATTTAGAAATTGGACTATCAGATCGTGAGGAGGGAAGCGAAGGCCGTAGCGCATGGACGCCACGTGCACCCCGACCTCGGAGTCGCGACAGGTCACCGAGAAGACATGGTTAGTTGTGTGCGGTCGGCGCACCACGTAACCGTCTCCTACAAAGCGGAGAGCCTCGTCAAAGTCAACGTCCAACAGGAGACAACCCGTACTTGTGATCGGACCCTTATCCAAAGCGGTGACAGGCAAGGATTTGCGGGTCCTCTCCTGAACGATTTTCAATTTCTTCTTCTTCTTCAGAGGCGCCGCTTGAGATGACGACGCCACGGTGACTGACGTACGCAGAGGCAACGCGCTCAAAACCCTAGAATGGTCAATTCCTCCCACCGGACCGTCGGGGCGGAGGAAGGTATTTTGACGGTACATTTCCTCAAAGCAAACCGTCGCTAGGTCGACAACGGGGGTGGAAGTAGAATCAGAAGACGTCATGAGAGCGGGGAAGAATGGACTAACCTTCGGGTTGGGCTGCGACGGCGACGGCGAGTGAACGGAGATGATGAATGAAATCGACGGCAAAGCTGCGGCGCAAAAATGGCGAAAGTGGAGAAGATGGGAAAAATTCTCAATTTTATACGCTAAGAGGATCCAACCCGACTCAGTAAAGTGACGATTACGAAGAGACGTGGCACTCCCTCACGCGTACGATCACGAGTCGTCATGAACGGCTGGCAAAGAGACAGTACAGAGACGTTGCGTCTCCCAAGCAGTACAATCATGTTTTTCAGAATCGAGGGGACACGTGTAAATCTTGCCAGGTGGAACACTCCCCAACCCTCGTCAGTACTCAAGTTGGGCAGCGGGGGACTCCTACACAGGCCAAGATTTTCAAAATTTGAAACTCAAAAATTCAGAATCCTAACTTTTGGATTACTTCCCTCGGCTTCGCTACGCTCGGCCGAGGAAGTAGGGGACTCATGATGGATACCCGGGAATGGGGGTATCCAGCCCAACAGGAAGACGGCCCAGTCCAACTACGCCAAGGCCCACTTGGCGGGACCAAGGCAAAGGACCAGTGAAGACCACCTCGACAATATCATGTACTCGACCTGGGCAGGGTCGGTCATCCTCGGACCACCCCGGTCGGCCTTCCGTCCGGAGGCTTCCGAAGAAATGTTATGCGCTCGGCCTCGGCCTTGGGCAGCGACAGACTGGACCTAGACAAGGAAGCTGACTGAAGTCAAGATCAAGGGGCCCACGAATAGACACTTGTCATACCTCTGGCAGAGTTGCTATAGCCACCCTATCTGTAGCCTACTTTGTATAGCAGTCCTAGGGTTAATTATGTGGTTGGACGCCGCCGGTGAACAACCCAATCTTAGTGGGCCCAGACCGTTGGATTACGGACCAACAGTCGGAACCCTAGCTGCAACTTGTATATAAACCTCATCCCTTCTAAGTCGGCATTAAACAAAAAAAAAGGAGTGAACCCTAAGTGGAGGACAGACCTCCGGAAGGACCCACGTCAGCAATCCCCTCGGAGTAGGATGGCTGTTCTGACTCTTCGTCGGTTTCCACCTCCTCGTCATCCTCCTCTTCTTCGTTCCCCGATTCCAGATCTTCTGACCTCGGAGCGCTCTCCTCAAGCCCATGCTTCGAGCGACTCCCAAGTACGGCTTCGGATAGCTCGAACTGACGCTCGATGGAGATAAGGATCCCCACCTCCGCTAAGTTCTGCTCCGTACACACCGTGTACGTGGGGTGGTTTAGGCCGGCAGTCTTCCAACAGTTTTTGCGCATGTGCGAGAAGCTCGGGAGTGGCCTCAGGCCGAGGATGACGAATAAACGTGTGACAGTCGGGAAACCTGGCTTGGAAAGGGTGCCGATTCCCGGGAAAGCCAGAAACGAAGACGAACTTGGCTTTTCAAAGTTTCAGGGATGTGGGGAAGACAGCCATTCCACACTCGGACTGAGAAGAAACGACAGCGTACGAATTCCCTTCGCGGGCCCCGACTTTGGAAATCTTAAACATATAACGGAACAAATCCAGAGACTAGGGGACTCCCCTCTGGTGACACTTAATCAGGAAGATCGAGACATAGTAGTAGGAATGGGGACTGAGCTGACCCGGCAGA